ATTTATCCTTAATGAGGCTAGTTCTTTCTCTCACTTCTTACTACATAATATTTGTTAGGTTGACAGTCAACTAATGTAAAGAAATAAATCTTACCTCCTTTCCTTTTGCTTTCTTTCTAGTAAAAGTTTAAAGCGCTGCTTAAATGAACCGTTTATTACATGGTCCTAGAAGTAACTGGCTAGTCCCAATACCAGAGACTTTAAAACCAATTAAACAGTTGAGCTTGGTAGCACACACATGTAAACTCAGCCACTTGGGAAGCTGAGGTAAGACAGTCTCAAGTTCAAAGTTAGCCCAGGCAACTTAATGAGTCTCTGTCTCACAACTATTTTTTCTAATAAGGACAGTGGGCGAGGTGAGGATATAGCTCAATAGTATAGCATTTGCCTAGTAGGTATGAGGGTCTGAGTCTAACCTCCAGTACCAAAGAAAAAAGACCATTACATAAGATACAACTTTTTTTCTTCTAATCCAGCCCTCAAATTCACAAATTTAAAAAAGGTTTAGGGAAGGTACACATTTAAAACATTAAGGGATTATTCCAAATAGAAATAATTTTAGTTAAAAACTATTCAAATTTATCAAATTAAATCAAGATTGAGAATAGCTGGGCATGGTGGCACAGACCTATAATCCCAGCACTTGGGAGGCTAAGGCAAGAGGGAGGCTGAGGCAGGAGGATCATTGCAAGTTCGAGACCAACCTGGGCTACAAAGTGAGCTCAAAGCCAGCCTTAACTGCATAGCGAGACCCTGTCTCAAAAAGACCAAAAAAAAAAAAAGGGAGAAAAGATTGAGAATAAAAGATGAAGTCCCTGGCACAGCAATCACCTCACCCTGCCCTTCTACTTTTTCCTACCTCTGTAACATAGGCACACTTCAATTACCACTGAGTCAGGAGTTATAATAAAAGGCTTTCCCAAGGATCTTGTTCTTGCTCCTCTACAAAATAAGCAATTCTAGTTTCAAATCTGTCTTCTGGCTTTTATGTGATTACTCGCAAAAACCAAACTTAAATCTTTGTTTTCTCCCACAAATCATAACTCTATCCCACAATGTCTTTTCTTATTTAAATTCTGTAGGCTCAAAGTACGTAGCACATCATGTCAAATTTCAGTTCTCCCTAGTTTTCATTTACATATGCCTGTACTCCCAACCAAGACTCTAAATTTCTCAGACAAAGCTCACTTTTTTGTTTGTCTTTTACTCCATAGAAAGACATATATGTTTTACATGTATATCACAGTATACACCCTGGACAGCAATGAGGCAATCCTGGAGCTATTAAAGAAATCTGCCCTCCCAACTCTGTGTTACCAAATGCTTCCAGCATGAACGCACAGAATGATATAGATGTCACAATGTAATTATCACAATGACAACAAGATCACAGAGCAGCCAGCTGAATGTTTCAGACGCTCACCTATGGAGTCAGACGCTGTCTGCAGGCACCACGCTCATTATCCTATTAGTGCACAGTGTCTGCCCTCGTCCTAAATGCAGAGCAAGTGTGGAGCAGCAAGTAAAACTCCTAAACCTTAATAAACTACAATAACTATATTGGCAATTTCTGTGCTAGCTTTAAATTTCCTACCAGCCTTCCATTCTTTTGAAATTTAAAGCAACCTAGAGATGCTCAGTTATCTCCACAGAGCATGCATGCTATGTACAAAGCCCTGGTACTAGGAAAATTTTGAATGAAGTAGCATTCCAAAGCTAAAAAAGGTAAATGACCCTTTTGCCACTAAAGCAAAGATAATCAAACACATTATCAAACTGGGGAGAACTGATTTCATTTAAGTCAGCATAATCACCTCAATGCCTAAGATTACGAAAATCTTGTGAGGTTCTACAAAACATGCTTATTGATGCACACTATACAAAATCTACCATTTACTTTGAGTTCTACAATAACTAAACTTACTATATTAAGCATCACTATTATTTGTCCATTAAAACTAAATTACAAGTTAAGGCAGAAGAGATTAAGACCCTAACCACAAAGAAAAGATGAAAATTCTGCTTTACAAAAGCGGGGTCTGGAATGGTAGTGACATGATATGAAAGATGGAACACACCTTAATTTAATGCCTGAGTATTTTATATCTTCATTAATCTCTCAAAAGTACACTAACAATGGATACCACTTAAATAATGAAATGATAAATAAAAACAACTGCCATATAAAATATTTTTAACAGCGCCATTTTTAGCTGAGCATGATGGCGCAGGCCTATAACCCCAGTTCAAGGCCAGCCTGAACTACATGGTGAGAACCTGTCTCAAAAAAAAAAAAAACAAAAACAAAACCAACAAAAAAGTACCATTCTTGTTAAAGTTAAAAAAAAAAAAAAATGGGTACACCACAGTCTCACCCAAACTTACTACCTGAAAACAGAAACTTTTAGCAGTTGCAACTGAAAGCAAAACATGTATCAATAATATTCCTAAATGTTGCAATATCTAATTTTAAAATAAACATCCAGGAAAACAGTATATGAAATATGACCAAACGCCTCAAAATTTTTATTACCCTACAAATTATATTAAATTTTGCTTGTATACCTACCCAAAATCAGGACGCTTCATTTTACAAAACTTTTAGTAGCCAGCACTATATTTTAAAATTAGACAAATAGAACACATGTACAGCTAAACTAAGTAAAGTTATACATTTAAAATATGATGGAGGAATAAACAGAAAAATTAAGATATATTGTAAGTAAGTAAATGAAAATAGACAGTTCTCACCTTAGGCCCCCCCTCTGCCCCCATGTATGGAAACATCACAGTAAATTATGAATTTATTTTTTATTTTTTTAATTATGAATTTAAAATCTATCCAAGCTGGCTGAAATTATTAAGGACCGTCTCTGTAGCTTTACACTCTATGCCAATGGTGACATATACACTACAGGCTAGTTTTCTCTATCACTTTACAATGTCACATCGGGCTTACCAGACTACTAAGAAAAAGTACTAAGCATGCAAGAGTCAAGGATGTGTTTAACCATTACTTTACTTTTAAGTTTGACAAAGAATGTACGTTTAAGATTACAGAGATTACACGACACTTCAAACTTTGATATAATTATTAGAAAGAGCAAATAAAAAATTTTCAACTTACCTGGTTTCTTTCTGGATTTTTCATGACCTAGCTGTCCTAGATCATTACATCCACAGGTGTACACAGTTCCATCATCCAGAACAAACACAGTGTGTCTGAGTCCACACCCTACATCTCGCACCTTTTTATTTATAAAAAAGTCACTTTTTCTGGGCTCTAGTACAATTTCTTCATCAATTCCACCCAAACCTAGTTGTCCAAAGGATGCATTTCCCCAGCACAACATGCCTGTGGTTACTTTGGTCTTCCAGTTTCAATACAAAATCCCCTTGTGAAACTCTGGGAAGTTGGAGGTACCCTATGTCTGAGGAGATAGAAAAAAAGTAGGGTGACTTCCAAAGAAACATGATTTACAACTCTTCTTTCATTAAATGCTAGGCTACAATCACTATATCCTGAACAGTAAGTGTATTTTATAATATGCTACATAAGTATCATTTACTTTCAAAAGTCAATTAGTTGTTATTTTTTTAATGAATACACAGAAATGCTCACGGTAAATACACCATTTTCTGTAATTCTTTGCAAAATTCAAAACATTAACTACTTTTCACCTTTTCTTACTTGTGGTAGATTAAGCTAATGGAAATAGTAAGCATGTTACAGAAATCAATCACAGTTTTTGTTTGCTTTAAATAATTTCAATGGGAGTAGGAAATAAGGCATCCTTATTTCTAATGACCAAAAATCAAGTACCCAACCAACTATAGAAAGGCAACCCTGCAGCTGCCCTCAAATCATAGCATAATGTAAATGCCTGATACCTACCTCCACATCAACAGAAAATTGAAGGTCTTATCTGTAATAGAAATAAAACCAATAGAGAAAAATTTAAATTTACCACCATACAAACGTCTCTCCCGATGATTCACACTAACAGGTCTTATGAACAATCCCCTCCAAACAATCTCATTGTACATCAAAATAGTAACATCCCGACCTATTAATTTAAAAACTAAATCAATCTTCATTATCATAATATAGAAAAAATATTCAGTTTAAACATCAAGATTCTCCCCCAAAATTCAACATTTCTCTATTAAGAGCGATAACTGGGCTAAAAATATTTCCCAGGGCAAATCACGCCTATCTGTACCTCTGGAACAATTATTAAAGACGGAAAAAAAAAACTTACAAATAACCCTAGCAGGACTGCTCATACAGGGATGGGGGCTGGGTCACTGATAGTTTGGTGGCGAAATCTGCAGAACTTTCCAGTGCACTGGGTATTTCTTCGCTTGTAAAGACACAAACAACAATCAGGATCCACCTGGTCTACACGCCGCAGATTTTCGAACACGCTGCACTGCTGACTAACCCTTCCCACCGGGGTGAGCCTACCCCGCGGCGGGCACCCACATTCCTCACCGCACAGCGCGCTCCAAAACCCGGCGTCCCCACACCCGGCCGGCAGGCGCCGCCGCGCCCCGCAGCCCGCCCTCGGCACAGCGC